AGAAGGCCCCCAGGCTCCCAGCTCAGTGATCTGAGCCCCACCCTGCTCCAGCTGTATCCACTGGACTCTCAGAGGACTGGCCAGGCCCAGACCAGATGATCTGACAAGATGGAAAGGGAAAATTCTCGGCATTCCTTCAGCAGAAGATGTCTGCCAAGCCCAAGGCAGTGAGCAGCAGCGAGATGGAGCTTCAGATGCATCTTCAACTTCAATGTAGTCCAGTGCAGAAAAAAAACCGAGTCCCTTCTCATTAAGTGGTTATATAGGGACCATATGGAGCAGGGAGCCTGGAAGTGGGATTCCTTTAGCCAGGCCAAGGGAGGATACAGGACCAAGCCCTGAAATTCTCTCTCAATGCACACAGACTTCCAGTTTTGGAAAAATGTCTTCATATTCCCAGAAATGACCCAATGGAACAATCAGATTGCATTATTCTCTCCAGTCATCAATGCTCTGCAATGGTTCCAGATGGAAAGGGCCACAATCTTGTCTTTAACTCTATCTTGACTGCCATAGTAACTCGTGATGAGAAATCTCTCCTGAAGGCCCTGTTTGGTCAGTTTCCGTTCTCACCAGCCACAAAAGAGGCTCACTGGGGAGTCATCAGTTTGCAGAGTGAACTTGCCAAACCAGGCTCTGCTGTCAGTATCAACTAGGCACTGGAGGGTTGCCCGGCAGTCTGGCTAGAGTCCTCCAGCCCCACAGCCAGAGAAACAATCTACAGCCCAGGAGTCCCAGCCCAGCAGACCCTCTGGACACACTAATTAGCCAGCATCGCTATATCATCAAGACTCTTGGCGAAGTCCAATTTTTCCTTCCAATCTCAGCTCATCGACTCCATGAAGCCCCATTTAGCACCTTACCAACTAGACCGAACCAGTCACTCGCCACTCCTTCCACGTCTCCATTACACACCCAGCCCTCTGCGCTATGGGTTCTACATTCAAGGATCTAGCCATCCAAGATCAAAAGTAAGGTATTGTCCAACAAAACCCAAGTGGACAGTTCCTGAGAACGGACACCGGAGGTTGACCTCTGGCCTCTAAATGCTAGCTAGACTCCGATTCAAAGTCAAAGAGACTTTCACATCACCTTTCTTCTGAGGCTCGCTGAACACACCTTTCATTGAAATCTCGAGAAGCACGTTCGAGGCAAGTGCAGCACACTGTATCTCTCACCGTTTGAGTTAGATATCCACCATCCTCACAGGTACCCCCCACACCTCTCCGTACCATACATCAACGGTAATAACAGCAGCCATGAGTTGACTCGCATGGTGGGAACTGGCCACCTCCACACCCACGGAAACACAATGCATCCTAGCAGATGCTCTGATGGACAAGTGTGAAGAGTCAAGCTGAACACCCACAGGACCCCAAAAGAGCTCAGCCTGCAGCCATTAGAGAAACAAATCTCACTGGGTCATTCACAGACACCTCAACTAGTAAACACTGTTGCTGTGTGCGGGTACACACATATGTGGAGACCAGAGGACAAACACCGGTGGTTCTTTGTTTGGTTTGTTTGGTTTATTTTTGTTTTTTTGAGACAGGGTATTCCATTGACCAGGAACTCCCCCAGTAGTCTAGGCTGGTGGGCCAGAGACTTCCAGGTATCCACCTGCCTCCACCTTCCAATGCTGAGAACACAGGCACATGCCACCACACCCAGCTTTTTTAATTATTATTTTACTTTTTTTGTGGGTAATTAAATTTGGGTCCTTGTTGCAAAGCAAGCACTTTGCTGCCTGAGCTTTTGGCCCAGACCTCTGCTATTGTGTTTTTAATTTGAGACACTAACCCTAAACAAGAACCACCTGTGTGGCCCCTACTACACTGTGGATCCGGTCCTACACCTCAGCCCTCAGGCTCTCCCTGCTCCTAACCACCAGGGTTGCTTTCCTCCTCGCCCAATATACCTACCTACCCTTCCGTAAGTGTTCTGACCCTGCTATTATTCCCAGAGCAGCTGGGAGGGTATCATTGGTTTATCCAAAACTTTGAGGTAAGGAAGAAAATGAAGTGGGTGTTGAACTCCTTGCTAAGAGACTAGAGAATAAAACTGATGTTTTGCCACATGGAAAAAACGCACCCAAAAATGAAGTAATAAGGGAATAGCCACGAGCCTTAGGGGCTGTCCCATAAACCAAACCTAGGATGGCTTTGAAAAATTTCCTTATAAAGCCATATTAGACATGCCACTGGTGAGTCCTCTGTAGCCCAGCTGTGTGTGGTGTGGGGCTGAAGCCGGCCCCATGGAATCCTGGGTTACAAGAAGGTCAGAGCATTTTCTGTGACCAGCCAGAGCTACAATTAGTCCTGGGTGTGTTGGGAAGTGACCCCTGGCTGGAAGGGCTCATGCCTGAGGAAACCAGGACCCATCTCCAAAGAGGAGCCTCAGCTTTGCTCAGCCTGCCGGAATTTCATTAGCTTGTTCACACTGTACAGATGGGAATTAAATAATTAATTAGGGAATGGTTCACTCCAGAGCCCATGCAGGGGGGATTATGCAAATCACCCGAGTTGGTAGCAAGGGGCTGAATATTTTATAGTGTGTTTAATTTGCAAATATTACCCACTGAGAAGGCTTAGGCAGGAAACTATCATCATAATAATTATTATTAGTCATGCAAAACTACTTGAGTTGCCATCAAACCTCCTTCCTTTCAACTGCTTTCAAACACTTCCCCTAAGAAATGTAATTTTTTTTTAATGAAAAAAAAAAAAAAACCAGCAAAGTACAAAAGCATATTAAGAACGAAATGAACCTGTGTGGATAACAGGAAAATTAATGCGCACTATACCTTTCACCCAACCCAGGAAAGTCTCTAAACACCTGAATGTTTTCCATCCAGCTAATATTCTCACAGTCTCTGGGCAGCAAGGGAGCTGGGGAGCCGTGCAGCCCAAGAAAGCAAGGCATTTTCTCCTCTGTATCTGCATTAGGCCACTCTTGATACTGTGAGCTCCTGCTCCCAACACTTCTGACACATCTTTCTCCTTTATCCAAATAAGCTTTTACCTCCCATTAAGAATGCTAACTGCTGTAGCTTTATGGGTAGGAAGGGTGAGAGAGCCACACACCCAAGGGGTTCCAGGCAGCTTCTCATCCTCTGCCACCACAGACGGAAAGCTCAATCAACCAAAACAACATTGGCAAATTTGGCTATAAAGGGCCAGACAGTAAATATTTTAGGCTTTCTGGGCCATACACTCCCTGATGCAACGTCTCAATTCTGCTCTTACGGCACAAAAGCAGCCCCTGCCAATATGTCAACAGATGAGTATGGCTGTGTTCCAAAGGAGCTTTATTTACAAAAACAGGTGGCGGGCCAGATATGGCTGCCATCCAAACCCTTCTTCCCTTAACACTCGTGTGTGTGTGTGTGTGTGTGTGTGTGTGTGTGTGTGTGTGTTTGTGTGTGTGTGTGTGTGTTTGTGTGTTTTAAGATTCCCTGCGATTTTATTCTTTTTCCTTAAGTCACTCTGTGACTCTAAACATGTGTATGGAGCCTTAAAAGCATTAGATTATCTCTGCTTCCCGTCTTGAAGTAGCAATACTGGATTATAGATCTGTCACCACTTCTGGCTTTCTACAAGGGTCTGGTGGATAATACCCAGGTCATCAGGAAACAAGCAATTCCACTTCCCAAGCCAGCCCCATAGCCCTACTACAGGGTCTTGAAATGTCAGGCAAAGGCTTTACCACAGACCCCTACGAGATTTCTGTCTTAAAATTCTGAATAAATGCTTGTATGAGAGCCCTGCTTTTTTTTTTTTTTTTTTCTCAGTCCCACACGATATGTTATCAGGGCTGTTACAGACAAACAAAACAAAACAAACAAACAAACAACTCATTAAAAATTACCACTTCTGGAGAAGTGTCCCTAGCCTCTAGTGGGTAGAGTCCAGGATGCAGCTAAGCATCCTACATAGAAGACTGTCCCACAGTACAACAAGGGATTACTAAAATGTCAACCATGCCAAAGCTGAGAAACCCTGAGTTAAGCAAAGTGAAATTGTCAATAACCCTGACATTGTGGACCTCAAATATAGTAATTTCATGTGGTGTAGCCAAAATTGCCATGTTTGAAACCTTTGGAGGACTTAACAAAACATTATAGTCCAGAAAAACAATCCTCTCCCAGCTTAAGCATTTCTGTTACATTTCTGCTCACTATAATAAAGTCCTCTGAATCCACTCCCATTTCTATATTCATGAATGTATCTATTGGTTATTCTTTTCTTTTGAAAATATTCTTATTACATTTATGTATTTGTACATGGGTGTATGGTAGGTATGCATATTTGCATACTAAAACATACATACGAGGACCAGATAACAATTCTGGGGAGTCAGTTCTCACCATTTACCACGTGGGGCTTAGGGATCAAATCCAGTTCATCAGGCTTGGTCGCAAGCGCCTTTACCTCCTAAGCCATCTTGGGGTCCTGTTTGTTGCTTTTTTTTTTTTTTTCTAAATAGATAATATATTCAAAGGCCCAATTGTTGAGAGTCAGAAACATGTTCAGTCAGAGGGAATCCCCCACTCATATCAGCCCCACTCTGATGGCCTTCTCAGAGCAATCATCAATCAAATAACTAATCATGTTTCCATCGGTGTTGTGCAAATACTTTAGGAGGGGCCCTGAACACCCTCCTGTTTTCTTTAGGCTATCCTTTCTATGTCCAGCTAAAATAGTCAAAAAGATCACCTGCCCCTGGCCTATCTCTGCTTAGTGTCACTTTTTTTTTTAACCAGGGCCTCCTTCTTCCCTCTCAAGGATCCCACTTGCTCCAAGCCCCCTGCTTCAGCAACTCTTCCTCCTAGAACTAAACTTGAGAAACTTGAGAGAGATTTCACTGTTCCTCCTTGTTATGTAACAAACCTTTTCCTTGGGAGATCCAACACACAAGCTTACTCACCCACTGACAGACCAAAGTACAGATACCACCAAAGTCCAATTTGGTGAGCAATGTGTTTTACTGGGGCTACTTACAGGGGCAGAAATGACTCAAAGATTGCTGTATCACCACCCCAGCACAGGTGATAGCTGGCTCACAGAGCTGGGAACCTGGAACACATTGCATAGCCTTCAGGCAGCTCATCAGGTTGTAGACTGTCCTTTCCAGGAACCTCCGTTAGAGGCTGCTTCTTCCAGACAGTGGTCTCAACACTTACGTTAGCTCATCTGAGAGCCTTCTATACAGTAGCTCAGCTTCCTTAGGCCTAAGAGACACTCTCAACTCTTGCTTCCTCTGGCAGGGCAGAGCCTAGAGAATCTGTTCAGTTTCAGGAACTTCCTGAAGCTATTTTGAGTTGTTTACCTTCCTATTTAAGGAACTTTCTTGCAAGATAGAATGCTTCTACCTCAGAGGAAACTGTTACACAATGACTGTCTTCAGAAATCCCGTCGTCTGGATACAAAGTTCTATTTGGTTTTCTATTTCCTGATTTCTCTCCCTTGTATAGGGATTTTTGTTGTTGTTGTTGTTGTTGTTGTTGTTGTGTTGTTGTTGTTCCGTTGGGACCCCAGCACCTGTCAAAATCATGATAGCAAACAACAAAATGAACAGCTCTTGCACTTGATGCAGAGCAAAGCCCCCTTTAAACACCAGCTTGCCCCTTTCTGTTCAAGAAGAGCAGGAGACAGTTGATGCTAGCGGCTCTAACTTCCTGACACCTTAGGAAGAGCTAAGGAGGGACTGACTGTTCATGCTTTATGTGTGAGCAGAGCTGTATATGGCCATGAGTGTGCCCTTCCATTGTCCATGTCATCTGTAAGCCACAAAAGGGAAAAACACAGGTAACAGAACAATATAAGCAAGCAGGGAACACCTATCCATGAGAACAGTCCATCAGGGTTATTGATCCACTCTCTTGATTCAAGGGCAACATCTCCACCTGGGGGAAGGCGACACTCACAGGAAGATATGGCAGGGCCCCCAGATGGCAGCTGGAGAGGCACAGGTCCCTGGGAGTCTGCTTCTTTGTCTTCTTGACCCTTCAACTCCATCATGGTTGCCTTTTGTGTCCCAGAGTGAAAGCTATAGGCTCTAGTTCCCTCTAACCCTCCAAGGATAGCAGAATGAGATGTCCCTAGCTGGCTGCCCTGGCTGTGTGGTGTGGGTGACAGCTTGGTACTGGACAGGTGCCTGAACCACCTGACTGATGGGCATACCTGGTCTCAGAAACCTGAGTAGATCTGGCCCCTACCTCCCGAAGCTCTGCCTTTACCCTGCAAGATGATGGGGTCGGGGAGGGGGGGAGGCTGCTGGGGAGCATGAGCTGGCAAGAGAGGAGCAGTGTCACCAATTTCAGCTGAACTGTTCTGCCTCCTGTACTTCTATAGAATGGTATTCTAGCCGTATCCCTATGCAGACAGACACCTTGAGATGGTGGGTGCTGAAAAGAAGACTGAAGGTCCTCAGTAACCAGACAGGGGTTGAATTAACACCTGAATCAATAAGAGGCAATAAAGTGAGAACAGCATCCCCTTTGCACAATTCTGGAAGTGTGAATAAGGCAAGCATGATTTCCCTGCATACAGTAAGGAAACAGTGTGCGCATGAGGACTCCAGCTCATCTCTCTGACCCCAAAGGCAGTGATTGGCCTGCTCTGTTTCTGTGAAGCCCACAACAGGTCTCCCGGAGAAATGATTGGCAGCTGATAAGAAAAAAAAGAAATGGGCCTGGGCCTCGGCCTGGCGGTGCACACCTGTAATCCTAGCTGCTCAGAAGGCGAAGGCAGGAAAATCACAAGTTTAAAGCCTTGAGGGATTAGTTGCAGAGTGAATTCTGGGCCAACCAGAATGACTTTGTGAGACCTTGTCTCAAAATACAAAGAAAATAGGGAAGGAGGGACATATGGAGAGAAAACAGAGAGATAAGGAAATGGAAATGGACTGTACAAGGAGAGATGGGACTTATACAGGGATGGACTGTACAGGGAGAGATGGGTCTCACACGGGATGGACTGTTTGTTTACTTGGTCCTGAAGGGGTACCACCACAACAGGGAAACAGTTAGTATGAGCTGTGTGTGTGTGTGTGTGTGTGTGTCTAGAAGGCAGGTCAGCTTCCTACTGTCTTTAAGGAAAGAATATATTGGAGACAGCTGACAAAAGTACTAGAACTGCTCTCTGGCATGCAGTACATCATCTATCCTTCATGTGACCTAAGGCGACATTCTTCACATTTCCATGCAGGATCTCCTTGGATCCTCTTGCCAACCCTTCCAGAAACAAGGCTGTCCACTTCACAGGTGACAAGTGAGAGTTCAGAGTTGTATGACTTGCCTGTGGTCAGTCTGTAGTCACAAGGCTGGAGCCAAGACTTAACCATCAAAGCTCTCTGGCCTGTTGGGTCATGCTCTGATCTCATATCTCTTCCTCCTGTTCTTCCTTTCCTCCCTACCTCAAAGCAGTCACAAGGTGTCCATACCCATCCCACCCCTGAGGGTAAGTAGAAGCATCCCACAAATTTAAAAGGCTTAAAACCTAAACTGACTTGGAGATTAGAGCCATGCAGAAAGCAGGAGAAGGTTGCAGTGTTTAGGAACATACTGTCAATCTTCCATCACATAGCCGCTGGGGTTTAGACTCAGGAGTTCCCACAAAGGGATCTCTGTCTAACCAAGCCCTGGGTATGTCTTTGAGGTTCAAGCATACTCACTACCTTGCGGCTCACAAAGCTCCTGCCAGATATTCTCAGGGACCACAGAGTGTGTCCACCATGTTCCCAAAGCATTTCATAAGTCATGCCCTGTCTCCTTCCCAGTGTTTATCTCAGTAAGTTCCCACTGATGGGATGAAGGCGTGAACACATACTCCTTTCCATAGGTCTCCAGTTGAATGGTTGCAATACTGTCTACTCAGGTTTCCAGGGAAACAGGAGCTGACTCTCTATCATCCATGACTTCCAGGCCTATGGATTCAGCCAGCCGCAGAGGAGAGTTACTCAGGCAACATCATCTGAACAGGCACAGACTTTTCTTGCCATTTTACCCCAGTAATGCCGTGTAAAGAACATCTACCATGCAGGGTGGTGGTGGTGGTGCACACCTTTAATCCCAGCACTCAGGAGACAGAGGCAGGCAAATCTCTGAGTTCAAGGCCAGCTTGGTCTACAGTGTGAGTTCCAGGGCAGCCAGGGCTACACAGAGAAACCCTGTCTTGAAAAACCATCATCAACAACAAAAAGAACATCTACCTACAGGACATTCATACTGTATTTGAAATAAAGTCATCTCGAGATTTTTCAAGTCTATGAAAATGTATGTAGGATCCAAGCAAATGCCACACTACTTAATATGATAAGTATGCTAACTGGAGCATCCTCAGCTATTGGTAATCTTTGTCCATGAAGACTGAGCATTACATACATATTCTTGTACATAGAGATTTCTTTCAAGACATTAGCTCATAAAATTGTGGGGCTGCAAAGTTCAAACTGTACTAGGTTGAGCAATCTGCCAACTTAGACAGAAGACAGAAATCTTCGGGAAACCTCAGTCTTTTTTTTTTTTAAGGCTTTTTAGTTGATTAAAATTAAACCAAACTGTAAAGGGGGATCTGATCTTCTGTACTTTAAAGCTACTGGTTGTCACTGTCAATCACCTCTAGAGCCTTTGCAACAGCATCCGCATTAGTGTTTGACCCAAGTGGCCCTGATAGCCAGGCCCAACTGATGCTGGCCATTGCCTTCAAAATGATGACCATGAACTTATAATCAACAGGTGTAGAGTTAGCGGGCTATCAATATTTGTGTTCTGTGTGCTTGAAGAAAATACTTAAAAGAATCAGAGAATCAAGCAAAACAGCAGACACTGTCAAGAGATCAGTAAGCCTTGTTGAAGCTTCACTCTAGGTAACAAAAATGCTATTTTTATCTCAACGGAATCACACAATTTGAGAAGTATGAATGGTCTTGATTTGGAAGCCCCTGTTTTACATGTAGGGAACCCATGACCACAGAGATAAGATTAGTTTACTGACAGCTACATACCATTAAGCTATGTGCTTCTGTCTTTCTTTCCAATAGGATCATAAACTTCTTAACTCAACCTTTATTGAGTACTGACCCTCTGTAAGGCTTTCTGGAGATTCTGCCAGGCAGTATCTTGAAAGTCACTTAAGCTGCTCAAAGACAGTGTATGCATTATCAGCCTTATTTTGCCAAAGAAAACATTGAAAGTGTAAGGAATTTTCTTGGGGTCACTGATTATAAAACAAGACCTCTGAAACTCAAATGCCCACTGCCTGGCTCCTGACATAGCAGGCCAGCTGTGGAGGAAGATGAGAGCAGTTCTTGTTAGGTTGATATTTTGATGATTGGGAACGAAGCTACCACACAGGAGTCTCAAAGCATGCCACACTGCAAGGCTCTCGTAAATACAGAGTCGGGTATCCGTGGGATCAGATTCTGGAGAACCTGAAGCTAATGATATCGTGGATATGAGACTTTGATATGAAAATGAATATTTGCTTAGAATAAGAAAATTTCATAGACTTTAAAGAGTCTACCCTCTAGAAGAACCAACTAATCTTTTTGTTAATTAGCTGCCTAACAACCTCTACAGTGCCTGAATCTCCACACACTTTTTCTCTCACCTTTCTATAACAAACACACAAATGTTTCTACACACACACACACACACACACACACACACACACACACACAATAATTCAGCCCTTCCTCCAATAGTGCTAATAGAAATTTGACTTTTGCCAGATGGTAGTGGCACATACCTTTAATCCCAGCTGTTGGGAGGCAGAGGCAGGCCATCCTGGTCTACAAAGTGAGTTCTAGGACAAGCAAGATTACACAGAAAAACAAAAAAGAAATTTGATTTTTATTCTTAGCTGTTTAGAAAACTAAAATTTCTTACTAATTTCCACTGTGCAAATGTTCAAGAAAATTGTCAAAACTGAGAAACCTTCACGGTTGCATGAGAACTATGATATTTCGGGGGGTGGGGGACTTCTGGGTTTCCTGTGCAATGACCAGTCTTTGAGCTGATGAAACACACTGGCCAATTTGCTGTTGATGTCTTCGAGACTGTGTGTGTTAGAAATGTAGTCATGTTACTAATATCACAATTTGAGGTCAAATCAGCAAGAAACTGAAATCTTTTCCCAAAATACCGTATGATTCAGCCCTTAGTTAACTGAGCTATTGAAATACCCAAGGGCTCACTCATCACTTGTGTCACAAATAAAATGTCTTTCACTAAATGACTTTCTTTTTAATAAAGTTTTAATTTCTGTCTTACAGAGTTTTTTGTTTTGTTTTGTTTTGTTTTTTGACAGGGTTTTGTTATGTAGCCCTGTCTGGCCTGGAACTCTTTACAGAGACCAGGAGGGTCTCAAACTCATGGTGATCCTCTTACCTCAGCCTCCCAGGTTTCTGGGGTTACAGACATCCACCACCACAGCAGGCCTACCACAGTTTTTATTGTCAAACTGATTTCTCTGATTTCTGTTTAGTTTGTTCGTGGCCCATTCAGTTTGCTTCAATTTGTTGTGTTTTATTTTTCCCT